CCGTTTGGGAACATATGGTTATTATTCTTCATTGATTGATACAGAAAGTATATACATTTTAGCCAAGCACTCAGATCTGACTTAATAAAACATTGACAATGGACAGTTTTGCTCTACACATACATCACATGTAAAATAATCATTCTGATCTTATTGATAGAATAAACTCTCAAAGAGACAGAAGGTCAAATGCATACTGAAAATGAATAGGTGGTGCAAACACAAGTTATCAACCTGGGATAACCATCAGTGACAGATAAAAGCTCGCCTGAAAGTGGTAAGTGGTCAAACCATTTGCAAATGGTTTCACTACTTAACCTGGGAGGGTGCCAGAGCAGTCATATAGTGGTTGTGATATGTGTAGGGTTCCTTTAACCAAAACAAGAAAAAGTAAGTGGAGTAGCACAAGAAAGTGTCAAGTGTCACAAATCCATATACATACTGTGGCGGACACCCCGATGGGAAGGGGGGTTTCACCGCCAGAGATGGTCTTTTCCGCCAAGTGTGAGTAGAGCGACAATAATCCTAGAAGCGCTAATCCCAAAAGCAGTGATATAGCTGTTCCCTACAAGCACGAGACGAGGCTCTGTTTTGAGGGTAAACTGGAACTCATTTAATGGGAGCCACACACAGCCTTTTATGTGAATCCCCATGCAGGGGGTTTACTGTAACATATTCCAGGGGCGTTCCTCCCTGGACCTGAGAGGAGACTGCCGCAAAACACACAAATAATTATATTAACTCTCAGGTCCATGACATAAATTTTAAGTACACCTCAAAAACATATATTTAACAATTGAGTACCCCCTCAAGTCCTATATCCCTGGATAGCCTGGATCTAAGCACCCAACATATCCCGAAATCGCTCAGATACCACGAACACAGCCGAACCACCACCGGGGTAAAGTTTAGACCAACCGCACATGAAGTGCCTGCCCAAAAGCATTCCATGAAATCAGACTGAGTGGTCGGTCTCCTTTGGGGGGCACGAAATACAATGAAAATACCTAACAGAACTTTTCATGTGTATATTCAGTCTGTGTCCCTTGTTTGGGAGTTTACACCGAACGCTTTTGCATTCTGGCATATTTTCTTGAACTTCGATGGAGGTGAAAGTTCCAGTGGTGTTCATGTCGTTGAGTGTCCGATGATAGTTCCATACACTCGACGACCAAAGACTGCTGTATGGGTTCACCGCTAAAGATGGCCGCCGCCAAGTGTTTTGGTAATACAAACGATAACCACCCAGCTGACTGTTGGAAAGTTGCGGTTTAGAAGTGTTAACAGGTATATAGTATTAAATACAAGAAAGGATAAAATAAAGGTGGATTGGCGCTTAAAGTACAAATATGAGTGCAACAACCCCCAGTGTCTAAAATCACTCAAATGACACTAAATTAATAAATAAAAGTAACAAATAACAGTGGGTATTGCACCCCCCGTTATTTATTACTTTGGTTTAGAAGTGTTAATGAGGTGCTGACAGGGGGGATAGAGAAGCAGCACACGCCGCATGTGGGTGGTCGGTCATTCAGTATTTTGTTCAGCATACGAACAGGACAATGTTAAAATAGGAGATGAATGCAATCCACCGAACAAAACAGGAGAATGGGAAAAAAAGCTTTATAATCCAGGGACAGGGTAGTCTGTCACATATACATTTATAATAGATACATTTATTATAGATGCATTAATACATAAAAACTAAACCACTAACGAAGAAAATTAAATAGGATAAAAAAATATCAAGCAATTAAGCCTATATAATAATCACCCAAAAGAGTCCAACTCAATGATATGGATTCTAAGGATAAGCACAAAGGTGATGTAAAATAAAAGATCCAATTAGATTATTATACCTGGTTAGATGTGCAGGATATAAACGTCACGGTGCCCACGGCGTGTTTCTCTTAGGATATATTAAGTCACTGAATAATATAGAGTATTTGCCAGATGAATATGAGCTAGCTTTGTACAGGGAGTGCAGAATTATTAGGCAAATTAGTATTTTGACCACATCATCCTCTTTATGCATGTTGTCTTACTCCAAGCTGTATAGGCTCGAAAGCCTACTACCAACTAAGCATATTAGGTGATGTGCATCTCTGTAATGAGAAGGGGTGTGGTCTAATGACATCAATACCCTATATCAGGTGTGCATAATTATTAGGCAACTTCCTTTCTTTTGGCAAAATGGGTCAAAAGAAGGACTTGACAGGCTCAGAAAAGTCAAAAATAGTGAGATATCTTGCAGAGGGATGCAGCACTCTTAAAATTGCAAAGCTTCTGAAGCGTGATCATCTAACAATCAAGCGTTTCATTCAAAATAGTCAACAGGGTCGCAAGAAGCGTGTGGAAAAACCAAGGCGAAAAATAACTGCCCATGAACTGAGAAAAGTCAAGCGTGCAGCTGCCACGATGCCACTTGCCACCAGTTTGGCCATATTTCAGAGCTGCAACATCACTGGAGTGCCCAAAAGCACAAGGTGTGCAATACTCAGAGACATGGCCAAGGTAAGAAAGGCTGAAAGACGACCACCACTGAACAAGACACAAGCTGAAACGTCAAGACTGGGCCAAGAAATATCTCAAGACTGATTTTTCTAAGGTTTTATGGACTGATGAAATGAGAGTGAGTCTTGATGGGCCAGATGGATGGGCCCGTGGCTGGATTGGTAAAGGGCAGAGAGCTCCAGTCCGACTCAGACGCCAGCAAGGTGGAGGTGGAGTACTGGTTTGGGCTGGTATCATCACAGATGAGCTTGTGGGGCCTTTTCGGGTTGAGGATGGAGTCAAGCTCAACTCCCAGTCCTACTGCCAGTTCCTGGAAGACACCTTCTTCAAGCAGTGGTACAGGAAGAAGTCTGCATCCTTCAAGAAAAACATGATTTTCATGCAGGACAATGCTCCATCACACGCATCCAAGTACTCCACAGCGTGGCTGTCAAGAAAGGGTATAAAAGAAGAAAATCTAATGACATGGCCTCCTTGTTCACCTGATCTGAACCCCATTGAGAACCTGTGGTCCATCATCAAATGTGAGATTTACAAGGAGGGAAAACAGTACACCTCTCTGAACAGTGTCTGGAGGCTGTGGTTGCTGCTGCACGCAATGTTGATGGTGAACAGATCAAAACACTGACAGAATCCATGGATGGCAGGCTTTTGAGTGTCTTTGCAAAGAAAGGTGGCTATATTGGTCACTGATTTGTTTTTGTTTTGTTTTTGAATGTCAGAAATGTATATTTGTGAATGTTGAGATGTTATATTGTTTTCACTGGTAATAATAAATAATTGAAATGGGTATATATTTGTTTTTTGTTAAGTTGCCTAATAATTATGCACAGTAATAGTCACCTGCACACACAGATATCCCCCAACATAGCTAAAACTAAAAACAAACTAAAAACTACTTCCAAAAATATTCAGCTTTGATATTAATGAGTTTTTTGGGTTCATTGAGAACATGGTTGTTGTTCAATAATAAAATTAATCCTCAAAAATACAACTTGCCTAATAATTCTGCACTCCCTGTATTGTATGTTGCTGGAATGAAATTGGACTTATCTTACCCGATGTAGCACAGGAAACCTTGAGACACAGGAAACCTTGGGACTCCATGTCACACTGACTAACCCTCAATCCTAGGCCTAATGGGGATTACTTCCCAGCCAAATGCTGCCCGGGTAAGCCGCTTCAATACGCCCACCTAACGACCCTGCTTCACAATGACTTGATATGACATTGCAGGAAATATTGCAAACTTAAAAGAAAACAAAAACATTGTTGTCGTGGTTCTTAATATTGGCACTGAATTCTAAGACACTGCAATAAACCTGGACTGTTAAGGCACTCCTATCTTCTAGCCCACTGATTTGATATACATACGCTAATCTTCGGTGGCCCCAATATTACAATGTCATATCCTCTAAGAATATGAATGTACATGTCCCTAAAAGCTCTGATATGGGCTACTTACCCACAACTACACTCACATAGAACACTCCAGGTCCTAAAATGGACAGCCTTTTAGGTCAACATAATCTGTCGGATGGTAGGCAGATGATATCTGGAAACATATACCACACGTTATGTTATGATTTAACTAGCTTTGTTAATGAATTAATATTACTGGTTAAAACGTTTGATATGTTGTTTGGAATCAAA